GATTTTTAAAAAGATAGAGAGGGGCACCTGGGTGGCTCAGTCGGTTAAGCGTCTGACTTCAGCTCAGGTCATGATCTCACGGTTTGTGGTTTGAGCCCTGCATCGTGCTCTGTGCTGACAGCTCAGAGCCTGGAGCCTGCTTTGGATTCTGTGTCTCCCTCTCTCTCTGCCCCTCCCCCGCTGATGCTCTGTCTCTATCTCTCAAAAATAAACATTAAAAAAATTTTTAAAAAAGAGAAATAACACTAATACTAATAAAGTTACCTAATTATAGAAATTCTTTAAAGTTTGATTTAAATCAATAAAGTAATTCATTTTACCTGTTCTTTAAATTAATATAAACAGTTACATTAAGGAGGTATAACAATATCATAAAATGCCATTGATTTGGACTCCCCAATTCCACTAGAAGAACTTTTGTTGGTTTGACCACTGATGTTTTCCTAGTGCCTGAAATAGAATAGTACTCAGAATATAGCAGATGTTCAGTATTTGTTGACTAGGTTACCCCCTCTCCTAATTAATACCAGTTTTTCAGTACACTAAATGAAATATATCCTCCCTACTGTTTAGAGCGATTTACTCCGTGGTTATTCTATGGTTATTTATGCATCGTTTCACTCTGAAAAATAATTTAAACCAATATGAAAGATACTTTGTTATTTTCTTCAATCGCCTTTTAAATTTTCTTCAGATTATAATTGTATCTGTAAGCTTTCAGCTTTCTTAAACTTCTAAGAGCATAGCTTGAAAAAAAAACCCACAAAATTTTTCAGTGCAACGATTCATCATCCCACTGTCTTCATCCTGGTCTTTACATCAGTTTCTCATGCAGCGTAAAGACAATAATCATGTCACATTTACTTGTCAGGAGGAGGAAGTTCTCTATTTCCCAGTATATAACTATTAATAAATTCTGAGGGTCAAGATGCGCCTGTAGCTTTTCCACATAGCAGGTCGTTCAGTGTCATTCTTTGTAGTAGTATAATTTTTTTAATTCCTCCAAGAATTTATTTCCCCTTTTCCCTCTCAGTCAACTGTATAGCCTGTATACAGTGTATGTGCTGTACCTGAAGGCAATATAACTGTTACTTTAAAAATATTTGATAACTAGGATATTTCACTAATGTTGGCAAAACTACAAACTACTTCTTCAAAATTAACAAGATTCATTTCTTCTAAGCTTTCCCTCACAGTCTCAACTACACAGGGAGTCATTAAGACAAGTATGTACTACCTATTTAATTTGTAACTGTTTCTAAAACCACACAGCTGAATTTATTTCCATTATTACTGTTTACTGTTACTGCTACAGCAGGAAGTTAGGAACTGGTATATATTATCCTTTCTGTGAACAGGGAAAAAATTCCTGAGACTTCAACAGAAAAAAGATGAATGCTTGGCCTTCCAAATCCACAAAAAGATGTTGGTCAACTTTGGCACCATTATAATTTTTAGTCCATTATGTTAAACAAGGTTTTCTGTGAATCATTTATAATTTTAACTTTTTTTTTTAAATAGGGCAATGTCCTAACCTGACTGGAAATGAACTTCTTGCACACTACATATTTTCATTTCTGAACTGCAAGCTGCAAATCTGATGGAATCAAGTATACTGTAATTTCCTGTATCTACATACAAATTAAATTCTGGTATTTATCAATAATAGAACTTTATATTTTATATTTTAAGTTTAATAAAAACAAGATAACTTGTCCTTTCACAGGAAATATATTTTAATTTAAATTACCCTTTATTAACTTTCTTCACAATGAGATATTTTAATACTAAGACAAAAGGCAATTCAACAAAGATCCAATATCAAAGCATGACTGCTGAGCCTAATTCCACCTCATTTATATAATATTTCATCTTAGTATCTCAAATGGGATATAAAAGAAGTAGCAGTACTATTTTCCCAATATTATCAAATAGTCTCTCTCTAATTAGGGTAGGATAATATACATAACCACATCTGTGTACTTTAGATTTTTATTATACACATATATTAGCATGGAAGTTTCAACAGATTATTTACTACAACTACTTTTGAATATCCACTGTATTGTTCAAGAAAAAAATAACTTACTGTCTCTGAGTGTTTCCCAAGCCCACTGATCATTTTTGAAGAAAAGATGTCGTTTGATTTCTTCCACACCATTTCGTCCTAATCTCACTTCTCTGAATAGAGGGAGAGAAAAAAGTTACTAATCATTTAAGATATTATTATAACCTGTCCAGATATCTTTGTGGACATAATGCTAAAATCTGTGCATGATGATAAAAATAGTTTTATGTCACCTTGAAATTACATTGGTTGTCAGTGTAATTTTCAGCTGAAATTTAAAAACTAGTTGAAGACAGAATCCTGAAGAATTTTTAAAAATATGTATGAGGGGGTGTCTGGGTGGCTCAGTCGGTTAAGTGTCCAGCTCTTGATTTTGGCTCAACTCAGGTAATGATCTCACGGTTGGTGGGTTCAAGCCCTGCATTGGGCTCTGTGCTGTCAGCTTGGGATTCTCTCTCTGCCCCTCCCCTGCTTGTGCTCTCTCTTTCAAAATAAACTTAAAAATTCATACATACA